AGAAAAAAGAAAAAGAAATAATTTTTTAAGTTTTTTTGATATATTTTTTTTTCCATGTCATCATTTTTTTATCGTGTTGTCAATTTTTTTTTCAGGTATGCATCTGATGTGTCAAGTTATTTGGACACGTCATCATGCTCCAGTTAATTAACGAGAAATGTCACTGGATTTTTAACGGAGGGACTAAATTGGGGTTAAAATGGTAAACAGTAGGGACCAAATCAAGGATTTTTTCAGTTGAGGGACTAAGTCGGGGGTCCGTACAATAGTTGAGGGACCAAAATGGGGGGTTTAACCAATTTCAAAATAACATTAAGTGTAAAATGTATAAGAAAAGACAAAAAAAAGAGAGTCGCCACTCGTCCAAATTATAAAGTAGGATAAGTCACATAAAAAATAGGTCTATTTAAATATCGGGATTTGAGGGTTCGGTTAAGAGTGAAGAAAGGCATACATGCACCTCACAATCCTCCGCTTAAACATGGTTGCATACTTTAAAGTTGGGGTTTTGATTCAAGTTATTCATTATATCTATGTTTGAGTCTTAAAAAGAAATTTATTTATATATTTTGTTTTAAAAAGGGATAAACCAAATTGAAACATTTTTTAATTTTTGGACTAAAATGAACAAAATTAAGAACATGTATGCAGAATAAGCACAAATAAACATTAAAGGGACTAATTTGATTAAATTCGAAACATGAAGGACTGACTTGATTAAATTCACAAACATAGACGACTAATTTGAAAAGATTTGAAACCTTTGGACTAAATTGCTTAATTATAAAAATTTTGGGTGAAATTTGAAATAAATAAAGGTAATTTTGACTTTGACCAAGAATAAAGAAAATTAAATAAGTTAATTAATGATGATAATTAGGTTAATTAAATGATTAATTTGACATTAATTAAAATTAATTAAAAATAATTAATCATATTGACCAACTTTTAATTAAGATCATTAAATAAATCTAATAATCTCAAATTAAAGTCAATAAATATTATTACTTTATTTAATTAAAATTAATTAATTTCATTAACTATAATAAACTAAATTGATTAACCTAATTAATTATTAATCATTCTTACATATATATATATATATTGTTTCGTTTTAGCTTTTTCTTTTTTTTTTGCCTTTTTTTTTTTAATTTACTAGGCTGGGTTGGGTTTACCCAATCCGGCAACATAAACCCATTAACCCAAATGGGCAAAAACATATCAAACGTAAAATAAAGAAACTTGCAATTAGGGTTCATGTTCATTCTAAAAAAGGGATTTTATCACAAGAATAAACACATTCCGCAGAAAAGAAAAAAAAACGCTTTCACCAAAGAGAACAATCTGAACATTTTTTTTCTTTTCATTCATTTTCCAGTAAACACAAACAAACTTAACATCAAATAAAGAAAGAGAGAAAAAAAAAGCAGAAAACATCAACCGAAAATAAGGAAACACCCACAGCAAAGTTTTTTTTTTAGTTAAATCATTCCTTGATTTTTCATTCATTTCCAGCAAACATACACAAATCTAACATCAAAACCTAAAGAAAGAGACTTCAACAACAAAACACAAAAGAAATTGTTTCCTCAAAAAATCCTCAGCCGGCCTTTACCACGTGAGTTGATGTTAGGCGTGCCACTTGCTTTGTCTAAAAACAAGAAAATAGGATTTTCCAGACGACCCTTCTCCTTTCCAGCGGTCGATTTCCAATAGGATGGCTGGAAAGAACGTCTGTGAAATGAATTGCGCCCCAGACGATGTTGCAAAACAGAGGGTAGAGCTCTGCAAAATGGGTTACTAATTGCCTTGGAAACCTCCAAGGACTTCACAACCAAACAAGTGTAATAAAAGTTACAAATCTTAAAATAAATGCAATATCCTAAAGCAATTAAACTAATATGAAGTAACTAACAGAAAATAACATGCCATAAAGATTAAATTTGCAGACAACAGAATAAGTAAAATAACAGACAATGATTTCAACTACGCAGCCCATAATGACAACTAAAATTGAAGAAGAAACTGTGAAATGATTAAAGTCTAGAAACTTATAAATTTAAATCTGGAAATTGAAATGAAACAAATTGCATGTCTAGATATTATGCAGAAACAAAAGAACAAAGGTAGAAACTGTTCATCCTATTTACATGAACAAATAACATAACTAAATCCATAAAAGAAAGAAGAACTAACCGGATCAAAAGGGCAGACCTGTTTTGAAGGCTAAGTTGCTTCCAAATGTTTAAAAACTAATCTAAATTGGAATTTGCAGAAGAAAATATGATGAACAAACCTAGGCTAAGGCTATGAACTAATCTGAAAAATCTGGGAAATTTGGAAAATCTGGAAACTATTGCTGAAATCTGGAAAATGCAGTCTGAAAGCTGAAAAACATGCTCTGGGCAATCTGTGTGTGTGCTGGGCAGGCCGGTAATTGCTCTCTCCTTTTGGTTTTTCTTTGCTTCGGTGCTGTCACCCTCCCTCCATGATTTCCGGTACTGTTCCTCCATGATCTGGTAGTGGGGTTGCAGGTCTGACAGTTACTTGACAGTTATCCAATTATTTTATTTAACCTTATCTCCAACAACCTTAAAGATAACTACCTAAAAACCCTAAATTTCCCATTTTAAATCAAACTTAAACCACCAGATCTAATCTTATCTTCTGCCAACCAAGATCCCACCTCCTTGGAAATCCGTCTGGGCCATCAAATTATGAGTCAGCCCAGCCCAAATCCAGCCTATTGATTTTCTTGATAATTGGGCTTTACATTGACACGTGGCCTTACCCTATTGGTTTATTTTAGGTGTAAACAATGCCCTCCAACACTTGGTTTTATGGGAATAAATCCAAGTGTTTAAATTACCTTTCAGACTCCAAAGGCCACGTGCAAAGTCTGCTAAATCCCAAGATGAATGCAGCAGGTATTCCCAACTTTTTCACAGCTGACTCTGTTTGAGCGCATCCAGCCATCCACAGCCAGTCATGGCCGCTCGATCAAACTTGCTCTCATTTTGGAATAAACACATGAAAGCAAATCAACTTATTTGTGCACAGACAAAAGTATAAACCTGGTTCAGACAGCTTCTTGTGACTCTAAGCCTCTTGCCTCCCAGACTGTAGGGTAATAAGGCTTGAGATAAATTCCATTGATTTTTCTGGGATGTAGCTCTCCATCAAGTGACTCTAACCAATAAGCACCCCCTCTCAACACTTCATGAATTCGGAATGGTCCTTCCCAATTTGGAGACCATTTCCCAAATCTGTGATCTTTCTTGCCAAAAGGTAAAATTGCTTTCCAGACCAAGTCACCAACTACCAGATTTTTACCTTTTACCCTCTTGTTGTAAGACTTTGCAACTTTGAGTTTTTGGGCTTGCAATCTATCCAAAGCTGTCAAACGTGAATCTTCAAGGTCCTCAAGCTCAAGCATCATGGCCTCATCATATTCTCCAAACTGGAGATTATTCTGAATCATCACTCTTAAAGACCTGGCTGTTAGCTCCATTGGCAAGACTGCGTCATGGCCATATGTCAAGGCAAAAGGTGTCATTTTGGTTGAACTCCTTTGTGAAGTTCTATAAGCCCACAGCGTTTCAGACAATAATTCATGCCAGCGTCTGGGATTGTCATCCACCATTTTTTCAAGCAAATTAATCACCACCTTGTTAGAAGCTTCCGCCTGCCCATTAGCTTGTGCATAATGAGGAGTAGAATTTAACAAACGGAACATTTCCTTTGCAAATGCCTCCACCTGATGGCTGACAAAAACTGTGCCTTGGTTGGTTGTAATTGTTTCTGGCAGACCAAATCTGTGAATAATGTCCTCTTTGATGAACTTGATTACATTAGATTGGTCTACCTTCTTCACTGGTTTAGCCTCCACCCATTTGGTAAAATAATCCGTTGCCACTATAATAAATGAATGACCTTTTGATGAAGGGGGATACACCTTACCAATTAAGTCAATAGCCCAGCCTCGAAATGGCCAAGGTTTCACAATAGAATTAAGTTCAGAGGCTGGAACTCTTTGAAGTGGCCCATGGATCTGACAAGATTTGTAGCCCTTAGCATAAGCAATACAGTCTTTCAGGACAGACGACCAGAAGAAGCCATGTCTGCGAATTAACCAACGCATCTTGATTCTAGCCTGGTGTGCACCACAAATCCCATCATGGACATCAGACAGCATCTGGAAACTTTCATCTGGACCGAGACAACGCAGCAGTAGTTCATCATTGCCTCTCCTATAAAGTACATCCTCAATCAAGACATAATTGAGAGCTTGCATTTTGGTTTTCCTAGATACCTTAATGCTTTGATCCTTAAGGTACTGAATAATTGGAAAGCGCCAGTCCATCTGGGTAACATCAATGCTGCAAGTGGA